GCATCAATGGGACCGTGGTGGTGGCTGCTCTGGAGCTGGGATTGCTTTCTCAGCACTTTTTCCTTGCTGAGATGCCCATTTCCTCCTCATCTCTGCTGAGCAACAGCCTCTAATGCAGTCAGGCCTTGGGTGGGGGCTAAAGACTCCCTCTGGGCATTTAGGACAGCCCAGTTCCCTGCTGCTCCATGGGGACTGATCTGTGTCAGGTCCTAGAGATGGGGTGTGGGCTGTGGTGGGGGATGCAGTGTCCCAGGGGAGAGGGGGTTTGGGCAGGGAGGGCTTTACCCCGCTTCCAGGACCCTTTTTGCATCCCAGAGGCTCGCAGGCAGAGATTCCCCCCTGAGCTGTAATTGGTAAATCAGGCATTGGAATCAGCGCAGGCACTAATGAGAGTAATTAGGAATCATTTGTTACTAATTGAAATAGAAGGATGAGGCAGAATGAGGAGGGGGGAGAGCCTGGCAGGGAACAGGGCTCCCTGTGCATAGGGGTGCTCCTACCCCGGGGGTGATGGTCCCTTTGCCCGTCCTCCCTGTGTCCCCGGGGAGGAATTCGGCTTCTCCTCTTGCAGCTGCGAGGTGGCCCCAGGAGGATGATGGTGGCTAAGCCGGGGTCTTCCCCTTGTAGCCCACCCCAGGGGGAGTCCCTCGGGAGCAGGGGGATGCATCCTGCTCCTTGGGAAGCGCTGATGGTGCCTGGCGGGAGCAGTTTGGAGCCTGCCACCCGCCCGTCACTTCTGGAGACGAATACGTTGCGAGGGTTACTTTATTTGATTTTTTTTTTACATTTTTTTTCCTTTTTTCCTTCCCCTCGGCGTCGAGCAGCAATGCGTGTGTTGGTTTATTAATATCCGACGTCTTGCAGAGCGGGGAAACCCGTTTCTCATCTGCCCTTAAAAAACACCCGCTGCTCTCTGGTGTGGGAAGCGGTGAGGGATGGGGCTGGGGGATGCCCTGGGGGGTCCCTCCCCGTGCTCCAGGGTCTTCTCTTTCCATCCATAGGTGAGCGACGGGAGCCTGACCGTGCTCTCCATCACCCGTGAGGACAGGGGTGCCTATACCTGCCGGGCCTACAGCATCCAGGGGGAGGCCGTGCACACCACGCGCCTGCTTGTTCAAGGTGAGATCTCCCACCCCAACCCCTCCAGCTTGTCCTTCGGGGCAAAATCCGTGGACATCGGGACCGTGGTGCTACCCCAGAGCAACCCAGTGGCCTTGCAGGCTGCCCCATGGCTCCGCATCCCATTTGGAGGAAGGAGGAATCCAGTTATAACTGGGGCACGGCGGTGGCCGTGAACAGCTAGGCCCTGATGGCAGCTCGGTTTTGTTTGGGAAGCAGGGAAAAAGATTGAGGCTGTCACAAAGCGCCTTGTCACACAGCGGTGATGCATGGCAGACCTCCTGCTCCTCGCTCCTTCTTTTATTAAATAAATCTTTAATTAGGTCAACAGCTACCGGCGGAGAGAGGCGCGCGGGGTGTCCTCTGCTCCGCTTTTGCCACCACGGCGAGCTGTGGGTGCTCGCTGCCGAGTCCTGGCATCTTGCCTTTTTCCCCCTGGATTTTTAGCAGGGATAGTGCAATCCTGGGAACATGTTTGAGATGAAGGGAGGCGTGAGCTCTGGGAGAAGCAGAGCCATCCACCACAGACATGGGGCCCCCTCCCCAAAGCCTCCAACATATGTGATGGAGCTGAGCCTGAGTAACCTTTTGTGGGGCCGCCTGTACCAGTGGGGGATGACACTTTTCTCCCCTTCCAGGACCTCCCTTCATCGTTTCCCCTCCGGAGAACATCACGGTCAACATCTCCCAGGATGCGCTCTTCACCTGCCAGGCCGAGGCGTACCCTGGGAACCTCACCTACCTGTGGTACTGGGAGGAGGAGAACGTCTACTTCAAGAAGTGAGTTTGGACCTGGCAGGGCGGTGCATCCTCCCATTCTTCATCCTGGATCATCCCGGAGCAAGCATTGCCCCTCTTGGTCTCCTAACCATCCTCTTCCTCTCTTCTCTCGCAGCGACCTGAAGTTGAGAGTGCGGATCCTGATCGACGGGACGCTGATCATCTTCCGCGTCAAGCCGGAGGATGCTGGAAAATACACCTGTATCCCCAGTAACAGCCTGGGCCGCTCGCCATCGGCCTCTGCCTACCTGACAGTGCAGTGTGAGTGCGGGCAGCGGGGCCTGATCCCAAGGGATGGGGCTGGGATGGATGGTACCCAGAGGTAGCCCTGTTATCCCAGTGTGACCCACAAGGATACTGGGAAGCTGGGGTTGATGTGCCAGCAGCCTTTGGATGAGCATCCAGTCCACAAAAGGCTGAGAGCATCCCGTGTGTGCTTGTAGCAACAAGAGATCAAATAGCCTGAGCATCCTGCACCACTCAACTGGGACCAACCTTGGGTACCAGTGGTTTGTGACTCGCTGAGCATCTTCCTGCCCGCACGCTGTCCTCATCGACCCCATCATTTTGGGCAGGGAAACACCGTATTTATTATGGGGGGCTCGTTCCTGCCGCGTGGGTTTCTCTGTGAGCGACGCACGTCGTATTTTTCCGGCGGTAACCGATCTAAACAAGCGGAGGAGAAGGGGTTGTAGCAGGAGCGTTGCTTCCCACGCTTGTTCTTTCGGGCTCCCCGGGCAGTAATGGGTAGTGTGGCACCGGCGTCCTGCGGCATTCGACGGTAATGGCCTCAATTGCTGCCGCTCGCAATTGCAATATTGCTCTGCTGTAAAAGACCGCTGCCGTTTCGTTTTATAATGAAAGACAGGCTCCAGCAAACTGGGCTCGCAGATCTGATTTTGAAGGCTGCCTTATGGCTGTGGGAAACCCCACGCCAGCAGGGAGCTGCTCTAAGGGCTGATAGGTTTCCCTATAGGGATGGATGAAGAGGCAGGCCTGGGGATGCAGGACCGGGGCTGTGATTCGGAGCTTGGATGCGGCCGGCTGGGCGGCTCTTGGGAAAGCGTGCGGCCTCGGGCCATTAAATCTGCCCTGCTGCTAATCCAGGACCGCTCGTCAAGGCTGATAGCTGTTAAAAATAGCTCTTGTGGCAGGAAAACCAGCGTTTGGACAATCTGCTGTTGAGACGACCCCGCGAGGCTTTGGCGTGAGGAGATGCGCTTGGATTTTTTGCGCTGCGAACCCCTTTTTGGGAGGGGGTGGTCCCCTTTATGGGGATGCGGCTCTGGGTCATCATCGAGCCGGGCTGGCCCCCTGCCAGTGACCCAGTAGTGAAAGGCTCGATCCCATTACCCTCTCCCACGCCGCCGGAGCCCTTGATTACATTTCCTAAGAGGCGGAGTTAAGCTTTACCCAGCTCCAGATGCAGCGCTTGGCAATCTGGGTTACGGTGCCATCGCCGGGGGCGCGCGCTTTCAGGGAGCGGTTGTGGTTGCGTGTTTCGGCATGGAGCAGAGGTCCCAAATTGGGTAGCTTTTGCTGTCCTCCATCCCTTCCTCCTAAACCTTTACCCCCCCGGCTTTGTGTTCCTGATGCTGCACTCCACCAAAAAACGCGTCCATCCCTTAATGCAGCGTAAGCCCCATCAGGATTTTCCCATAACCTCGTGCTGCCGGCGTCTAGATGAGTTTGTAGAAATACTCGCTGCTCTTATTAAAAGTAACTTCCCCACCCCCCCCCCTTTTCTTTTTTGGAAAAGCTTCTTATTAAAGAAAGTCTAGATTCTCTCCAACCCACTCGCACTTAATTAAAAAGCTCTTAGAAGCACTGTTAATGACACATCCTAGACTGGAGGATTGCGAGACGCCTCGCTGCGTGGGTGTTGCAGCGTAGGGGGGGGTTTAGGTACATATTTTAAGCCTTTTGCATCCTGTCGGAAAGGGTGGGGATGGCTGATGGCTCGACACAACCCAGGCTCAATGAGCCATGAGTATAGATAGGAGGTGAAGGGCTCCAGCCCGGCCCCAGATCCCTTCTCCCATCTCAGGCGCAGTGATTTAAGGCTCGGGAGTTGAAATAGTTGTTGTTGGGGTGCAAACCCAGGACACGAGTCGGTGCGGATGTGGGAACAGGCATCTTTAATGTTTCTTCTTAAAAGCAGCTTTTAATGAGGTAGAAACACCCTGAGCATGAGTAAAGCCAGGTATTACAGCGGATTTGTTCATAGCCAGCCTGGAGATAACAGGGTGGTGTTGGTTTGGGTATAAAAATGATGTAGATCCTCTAATGTGCTCCTCTCCCAGATCCTGCCCGCGTGGTGAACATGCCCCCTGTCATCTACGTTCCCATCGGGATCCACGGCTACATCCGCTGCCCGGTGGAGGCAGAGCCCCCGGTCACGCTGGTCAAGTGGAACAAAGACGGACGTCCCCTGCGAATCGAGAAGGTAATGAACCCCCCTGGGAGGGACACGGGGAGGTTTGGAGGGGTTCAGACCCCCACATCCTCTGCAGACGCCAGTGAGCATCAGCGGGCGCCCTGCAGCCCCGTGGGTGGGATGACGCTGCTTTTCTCTATCAGCTGTGGGCAGAGTTAATTCGGGTTTTCGCGTGGAGCCCGGGGCGCCTGTAGACGTGCTGTCTGCATCTCCCAGACCCACTGCCTGCTTCCCTCTAAAGTGACCTCCTGATGGCTCTGGGTTTTATTTTTCCAGTGGCAACTGATGGTTAAAAGACCCTTTTAACAAGTCTCTGTCTTCCTATAATCGCTGTTTAATAGTCTGAGCAAGGATATTAGCCATTAAATATTTAAAGAAATCGCTCGGTATTTTACATTTTTTTGCTTAAACGTTAACGATCCAGAGTTTTAATTCCACTTAAACTTGTTGCTGCTCTGGGTTCCTGGCCCTTGATGCCCTCAGCCTTTCGAATGGAGTTGTTTCCTCAGGATGAGTTTGACTTAGGGTGTGATAGATCCTGATTTTTGGGAATTGAGTTGGGGGAATGCGACAGCCGCCCTGGGCTTAGTCTGGAGGGAAAATAATACGTTTTGGTGGGTGTAGGGGTAAGTCATCTCCCTCTTTCTCACCGCTGCAGTATTCGGGCTGGAACCTGCTGGAAGACGGGTCGATCCGGATAGAGGAGGCAACCGAAGATGCTCTCGGCACTTACACCTGTGTGCCTTATAATGCCCTGGGTACGATGGGCCAGTCTCCCCCTGCCCGACTGGTACTGAAGGTAACTCTCCTGCTAAAATCCTCGCTCCGGGTTTCCCGGTGTGGCTGGGGTGGGAGCTGCTACCCCGTCCTTCCCCGAACAAAAAGTCCTGTGAGTGGTGGTGATTCACGGCGCCTCGCTGAGGTTCGCATGATAACGCTTTGCGTATCGCAGACACGCACATCTGCTAAGGCGGCTGCGGCGTCGATGAAGTCAGGTTGATGCCTGATGCGGTGTGGGTGGTGTTGTTTTCCTGTTTACATCCTTAAAACTTCAAGAAGATGCCCTAACGCAGCCGCTTTCTGGAGAAAACTTCCCTCGGGGTGTATAATTTGGTGTACCATAGAGCCCACACTCTGCGCTGCGCCTTTCCTTGCAAAATACCTCAACCTGACCGAAACCGGTGACTCATTTATTTTGGAAAAGGCCTGGTTTTGGTGGTGGGGGAGCGGCTGGCGCGTAGTGGGAGATGGGTTGACGCTCCTTGCCTTTTCCCTTGGCTGCAGGACCCCCCCTATTTCACGGTGCTACCAGGCTGGGAGTACAGACAGGAGGCAGGGAGGGAGCTGTTGATTCCTTGCGCGGCTGCCGGAGACCCCTTTCCCATCATCGCCTGGAGAAAGGTACCCGGCCTGCCAGACAAATCTGCAGTGCCTTTGGCTTTTGGTGAATATTGCAGACAGAGAAGCTACACTCTGTCCCGGTAAGAACAAACTGCAGGTACAGCTGCTTCGCTTTGGGCTGAGCCACTGCCGTCCTGTCCCGCAGGTGGGTGGGGGAAGCCCGGCTTGCGGCCACCGAGTGTTTTAATCCCGTGAAAACCATCATGGCAGCATCCGCAAAGCTGCCCAGGCCCCCCTCCTCTTTCTCGCTGGTGCTGCCAGGTGGTCACCAGCAGGACATGGTAGCCCTTATCGTGGTGTGGACCTCCTATGGTGGGAGGGGATGTGCCACTGGAGTGTGTCTGGGGGTCTCTTGGACCAGTCTGTGACTTCAGAGACACTGGGATGAAGCTGTTTTAGTGATGCTGGACTGGATATAATGATTTCAGGCTGTTCCTTTCTGTAGAGCAGGGTAGGATCCGGTGTGGTGACAGCCTGGGAGCAACAAGGGCTTTCCAGTCCTCCTCCAGCCTTCCCTTCACTTCCCACCTTCACTGTTCCCGTAGGGAAGCCACTGTGCAGGGGACCTCTTTATCGTACTGTCAGGATCTTTGCCGAGTCTCCCGTCCCCGTCTTAGGCCTCCTGACAGTGAGTGGGGTCCCTGTGTCATCCATTGGGCACCATCCTCAGCCCCTGTGGTGTGGGATGCTGAATCTCTTTGAGTTCCTTTACCAGCATGAGAAGGACCATGACTTGCACAGGTTGCAAGTGACCCACTTAAAACCTTTTGACCATTTAGTCTTTTTATTTCCCCATCTTATTTTTCCTTTCCCCTGCTCACCATTCTTATTCCAGTTTCTTTTCAACCCCTTTTGTGTCTTCTGTTGGTCCTCCTCATGTCCTGACTCTGGGCTCATCCTCCCCAACCCCAGTCAGGGCTGCCTTGGGCTGGGTTCGGTGTCCCAGTGCCAGAAGCAAGCTCCCCACCAGTCTCTTGAAGGACTCCTGAAGACTTGGGGCTTGGCTCTGGTAATCCTACGTGCCCCTCTGCTCGTACTGCATGGCATCGAGCCGGGGGTCCTGGCAGATCGATCGGTAGAGAGCCCCGTCTGAAGAAGAGCTGAAGAGGACTCGAGGCAACGTGGGATTTGTGCAGTTTCGGCTGATGGGCATAGACACGAGCTGTTACCAGATCCATCTTTCCGCTCGGCTTGAGAGCTCCCGGACACCTCCACACACGCCATCCTCCCGCATCCCCCTTGCTGCCGTGAAGGCTTCTGCCTCTCCTCTGCACTGCCTGAGGAGTGGTTTGGGCATCTCCTGGGGCAGGCGGGTGTTTACTGGGGGTTACTGGTTGAGCCCTGGCCGTGCGAGCGCCGTGGGGGTTTCTCCGCTTGCGTGCGAGCGCGGAGCAGCAGCCTCCCTGACGCCTGCCT